GCAAGGAATATGATAACGAAATTGAGCGCCGGTACTGTTTTTAAATCTGAATTCTATATTATGGATTCGTATTGCTAGAAGAGTTTCGGGCTTATAATTGGGAGCTTTCTGGATACCTTTTTTTTTGACCCCAGGACTCCAAATTTGCCTTACTCTCATCTGATCATGATTTATTCAAAGGAACTTCGCAAAATAATGAACAGGGGTTTAAAAGACTTTTGAATATTATAATATTAGAAAAGAAAGATTACATGACATTTATAAACAAGATATTGAAAAATCAAAAACTAGAATTATAATTGGACGGCGAAAACACAATATAGAAACTGATACTATTGCTCAACAAAAGAAAAAGCAAGAGAAAAAAATAAAAGTTAATTCTACTGATTCAATTACATATTCAAGAAAATAACAAAAGTTTCAGAAAACTGAGATGGTAAATGAGCAGTGTTATGGAAATATGCAAGAATGTAAAGTCACATAAAAATTTTTTTTTTGAATTTATTAATTTTTACATTAATGTTAAATATTAAATAAAGAATTTTATAAATTGACTTTTCATTCATTTTAAATATTTTTATCAATATAATTATAATTTTTATTAAATTTTAAAAAAACATTTTATTTTTATATAAAATTAATTTTAAATGTTTTGAATATTAAAAATAACTTTAAAAAAGAATTTAATATATATAAATAAAAGGTCAAAAATTCAAAAGTTTATTAAACATCTCTAACATAAAATTAAATTTTATTACTTACAAAAGGCATTTATAAAAACTATATATAAAAGAGTTTTTTTCAAAAGAATCTTTTAAAGTAAATAAAAGAAGAGTTTAAAGAAAACTTTTGATAATATATTATTAGAGATTGTTATTTCATTTTTCTTAATATATATATATATAATATATTGTTAATTATCATATCGTAATTATTAAATACAGATCAGATGACATTTTACATGATTAGTAGTATTTATTAGAAAGAAAAAATACTACGGCATTCCATATGAAAGTAAGTCAAATTTTAATAACAAGTCTTTCATTTAGACAGTTGAGATTATAAAGCAGAAGCAGTCTAATATTTTCTGAAAATAGGAAAACATATTATGAAAGAGTCTATAAGAGTAAACAATATACGCATCTTGCATTAGATTGTGAAGGACGTGATCAAAGAGACTATAAATGATATCTCACAGAAAGATCTTAATAAATTGATTAAAACTGCTATGTGAAGGCTTGATAAAAATAATAAAAGTGTATATTGTTTCATTTCACGAATGCAAGATAGACATATTTGTGAAGAAGCGGATGCCAAACGGCATATAAAAAGGGCTTAACACCTGAGCTTTATCTTTATGAAATTTCAGAATCAGACGAGTGGTTTGAATATATTGTAATTAAGAATGATTCATCAAAAAGAGTGGGCGATAAAATGGAGTATCCAGAAGTGGTAAGATAATTTGGTAAGAAGATTGATGCTAACTATTATTTGAAAACTGTTATTAGCCTTTATGCGTAATTTATAAACTATGATGATAGATATCAGCCATCATCTAAAATTGTGATGAAGGCCTTAAAAAAGTTAAAAGATGCTAATAAAGTAAATGATGGTGAGGTAGATGAAGATGACGTGAATGAAGACAAAAAGGATGAAGACAAAGTGGATAAAGATAAGATATTAAAAATAAGAGATGTCTTATCACAAAAATCAGCTGAAAAGTAGGTTAAGGGTATATTAAAAACTTACATAAAGATCTGAAAAAAAATAAAACTATCATATCTCATTTATGGAAGGGCATGCATTTACGCAAAAAAATTATTTGATACTATTTATATTGATAAGGGAGAACACCTGACTAATAATGCTTATTACTAATCATTTTTCAATATGCTAGATAAGCAAGAAGAATTCATTTGCTTAAAACTTTTATCATTACTTAAAGAAATTTCTGAGGCTAATATAGAGTATAGAAATAGTATGTATAAATTAGTTACTAAGAAGTAAGCAATGTTCTTAGAACAATATTTAATATCATATTATTTGGATGAATGTAAGTTACTAGCAGATTTCTGAAACACATAATACATAGTAGTTGGCCTAGAAACCACAACATTATCGAAGTTACAGGATGACAAAAAAGATGATTTGTCTGAAGTGGATATAGATGATATTATTGAACTATATTGCTAAGTATTTTTAGTGAGATGTGACAATTTCAGCTAAGAAAACTTAGTCTCAAAAAGATAGTAATATTATTTATATATTTTTTCTCGTGTAATAATACCGGTTAACTTTAATTTCTATTTTCGAACTTCCAGCCTCTGATCATATAACTTAGCCTCAGATATACCTGGAGATGATCATTAGTATTTTTTGCATATAATAATTTGGCAAAACTGTTAATTAAGTTCAGCTGAAAAAATCTACATATTTTAAAAATAAGCTTTATTGATATAATGACTGAACTACAGAAAAATTTTTTCCAATATATAGGCTTCGAATCCAATGAAATCTGTCTCTCAATCACGGAAGAGGATAGGCAGATATTTCGAAAATAATATCAAAACAGGAGAAAATGATGGATATTATAATAGATGACTATCAATTTTTGCTACGTTATAGGCATAATGGATGATTATTAGTATGTACGGTATCTTAAGCTGAAATATCTTAATAAATCTACCTGAAAATTTATCAAAAAAGATATTGGCTCACATCAAAAAAAGATTTGAAGAAGTTCCACTTGTACTAGTACTTATATAGTAGTCAATTAGGATTGAAAATAATAATGATCTGGTTTGACTAAGAGACACTTTGTATGATTCCTATTTATATAATTTCTGTAAGTAAAAAATTAGTTACTTTTTTTTTATATATTTCATAGTTTTTTTCTGATTACAATCCATATAATTGCAATTAGTAGTAAAGTAAGTATAAAATATATTATTATTGGCGATATTAAGGAGCTCACGATAATAGGAGTAGTTATTGGTAAAGATACCGCTTCTGTACCACCTATAAAAATTATTTTAGATGAAGAATTAAGAGTGGAAAGGGTCCCTTCAGAACTAAGTTATGATGATTCATTCATAGGTGAGGATGGAGAATCTACTTCATTATTTTTCTTTGACATTAATTGATTCCTGAAGGACCTATTTTCATCTATTAACTTTAATCATCCTGAAGACAAAATATCTATTTTCCATTTATATATACTATTTGATGACTCTATTCCTTTTTTCATATATTCTATTATATGTTCTTTTGAACTAAGATTCTCATTTGCTTGTTTTAATTTAAACCTGAGAGAATCGATCTTTTTGGAATTAGATGAATTTATTTAGATTAGCTTTTCTAAAAGTTCTTTCATTACATTCGAATCATAGAATACCTGTTCTAGTTTCAAGTCATCCAATTTACCTTCCAATTTACATACTTTAGCTTCAAGAGAGAGAATCTTAACCTTGTTAGCGGAAGAAGCTTTCTGGGCCAAAGTTGCCTCTCTCTTTAGTGTTTTAATATTTGATTTGAGTAATTTGATTTTAGTGGTATATTTGGCTTTAAGTTTACGTTGACTCTCAGAATGAGACTTTCGTTTAGAAATAAGTTGAGATCTAATTTTAGTAGTTGATGCATTTAACTGGCTAATCTTATTTCTAATATTACTATAGCTTTGCTGATACTCCTTTTCTTGCTCATTTTATTTATCTACTAGCTTTTCACTAAGATCATTAATCTCAGAGTTAAATTCGGTAATAGATCTTAATTTTTTTTTGAGCTCTTGCTTATATATATTACTCAGCCTATGATCAGGTTTTTTATAAGAACCACCCTTTCTATCTTTTATATCATTCAATATATGTATACAGTCAACTCTTGTTATAACGAACTCTATGTCCTAAACCTCAACTTCGCTATAAGGATATAGTAAAGATTTTAAGAGATTTTATTGGCCAATTCACTATAATAAGAGTATTTTTATTATATTTGTTCAAAAATTTCGTTATATTAAGGGTTCGCTATATTAAGAGTTGACTGTATTAGATATAATATTAGCATGGTATATATTAAAAAAAAATGCACGAATAAATTTTTGAAATAATAGACATAATCTGTTTATTCAGAATAATACATTCTTTCTGAATATCCTGTTTATCCTATATATCCTATACATCTAAAATATTTCTTCCTATATATCCTATATATTCTATATATTCAGAATAATATATTTTTTCTATATATCCTATTTAATAAATTATTTCAGAGTATTATATTAAATATAAAAAAATATTGCTACTATACTTAAACGACGCATAAGATGTGATGCCTCTCATTTTTCACCAGCTAATTATGATCATATTATGCAATGTGCTGAAAAAAAGCCTAGAGATAAATTTTTAAAGGATTTAACAGATAAATATCACATATCATAAAAATGTATTTATTAAATCTGAAGAGGTAAAGAAAAAAATAGGGTTGTGTGAAATCAACCAATTCATGTGTCAACAGCTAGTGTTTCACTTTTTAATATAAATATTGTGAGGAGTCAGAGATTCAAGGCAAGATATTTCTCTATTTACAGAACTGAAAAAACAAATATGTAATGTTAAGATAAAGCCTAGTAAATCTATTGATTCAGTTTCAGAAGAAGGCGAGAAGGCAAAAAAGACTGAAGGGAAGAAATCAAAGTCCAAATCTGCGTTAACAGAGCTAATTTTATCTCTCATCTAGACTTAACAGATTCCTATATCACATGAGAAGATAGTTGAAAGAAACATAAAAAATATAGCGAATATGAAGAATATATTAGAAAAATAACTTGCTTATTCTCTAAGAAGTTTATTATATCATGTCTGTAATCTTTCACAATACTCATTGATTTCTGCATTATACTTAAGAGTGCTATATAGCATTTTTTCAAGCTTCTCATAACTCATGTATTTTTTTAATATATTAACATCACTTATGTCTTGCAAGTTCTGAGAAATTTTATCCAGAGCTGAAGGAATCGTCACATTCAGAAATAATGTTTGCGCAATTCATCTTGCCGTTATGGGAAATCTTCAACTCATTCTTGTCCCAATTAATTATGCATTTATATTTCTTAAGAAGAGGGTTTGAAAATATCAGCATTGGCTTAGAATATTTTACGACTATAAAATCTTCATATATAGTAAATCCAGAAGCTAAGGTTATCAATAAATTGTGAATAATCCCAACTGATTCAACTAGCACAGTAGTGATATTACTTAGGTTATACTTTATGGATTTATCAATATTAGCCCTATACGTTGTC